TGTAAAATTTGGCTATTTGCTCTTTTTTCTTATATATTGTACATTATATATCTGCATTTATAGTATATTATATATACTATATAATATACATTGTATATTATACACACACACACACATATATATATATATATATACATAACATATATACCAATTCCTTGCTGGCTGTTTAATTTGTAAATATTTTCTCTTATTCTACTATGCATCATCTCTTCTATTGTTTCCTTTGTTGAAGATTTTTAGTTTGATGTAATCCTGTTTGTTTTTTCTTCTGTCTCTCGTGGTTTTGAAGTCTTATCCAAAAAAAGATCAAAACAAACCCTCGCAATGCTGGGAAGCATTCACCTACATTTTTCTCTCCCATTTCATATTTCAGGTCTTACATTTAAGCCAACAATCCATTTTGAGTTGATTCTGTAACTTCTGAAATCAAGATGTTATTTTATTCTTCTGCAGGTAAGTATCATTTTTCTCAGTGTTTTACTGAATGGATTGCTTATTCTTCAGTGAATATCTTTAGCACCTCTATAAAAAGCTACTTGATGTTACATAGGTTTACTTCTAGGCTCTCTCTTTCTGTATGCTTGGTCTATATGTCTATGCTTATACCAACACCATGTTGCTTTTATGACTTCAGCTTTATAGTATGTTTTGAAGTTAGGTAGTGTGATGCTTCCTGTTTTGCTCTTTGTTCAAGGTATCTTTGAATAGTCAGGGTATTCTGTGATTCCATATTAATCTTGGGATTGTTTTTGCTCGTTCTGTGAAGAAGGTCATTGGCATTTTGATAGGGATAGCATTCAATCTGAAGATCACTTTGGTTTGTAGGGAAGTTTACCAGTATCAGTTCTTCCAATTTATAAACAATGTATGTTTTCCCATTTTTTAGTGTGCTTCTGAAAATGTAATATTTGTGCTGTGGTTTGTATCTGGATGTCCCCCTAAAGCCTCATGGGGTCATGGGGGTCAGGGCATCTGAAGGTGCCTGAATCTAGCATTTGTAATTGGTTCATTGTCTAGAGCTGGCATTGGCAGTGTGAGTGCTTGCACCCTTCCTGGGACAGATAGCTTGTATACAATATAAGGGAGGAAAAGAGGTGTGCACCAGGATTTGGTTACTGTTGGGGATTTTTAGCCAGATCTATGTTGAGAATCAAGAGCAAAGAGTTCAGTAACATGATTTAAAATGTTGTGAATTTCACCAGGAAAAAATGTCTGAGAAGGAACAGAAGAATACAAAAGATGGTCTGGACACATTATGGGAAGCAGCAGTAGGTCTCTACCCTTTGCAGCTTCAAAACTGCAGAAGTTAAAAATTTTACTTTGAGGAGAAAGCCATAGAGTGCCATATTCCAGAATGGTGACAGAGACCACACAAGGTTCCATAATGGCCATGAAATAGAGAATTTATTCCTCACAATCAGATTCAGAGTGCTCAGCAATCCAGGGGTATTCGACCCCTAAGATCAAGAGAAAAAATATCTGGCTACTGCTCCAATTGGGAGCAGACCTTGGCATCATCACATTGTGCTGGTTTTAGGTGCATATAGGATGAAAGAATTCTGAAGTTAAAAAGGCTTCCACCCCAATTTCAGAAGGTCTGGGAAGCTAAGCAGTGTGCCTCTGAGAGAGCAATATGTGAAACTGTGTGAAGCCAAAGGTACAGAGGAGAACCCAGAAGTTTGGAAAACTCAGGAGCCTGATTGTCCAAGGAAACCTGCAGGAAGACAGCAAAGCCAGGCCAAAAGAGAAGCCAGGGGAACCAAAACCACCAGAAGTGTTGTAGGGGTGGAGTCATTTAAGCCTTTTGGAGCTCACAACAGATTGCTTCAGATACTGGACATGGAACTCCAGGACTTAATGTTTTCCCTGATGGATTTTGGACTTCCTATGGTTCCATTCCTTTGTATCCTCCTGTTTAAATCCTTTGGAATGGTAATGTTTATTTTGTGTCATTTAATGTTGTAAGTATTTAACTTTTCATTTGTACAGGGGTTTACAGCTATAAGTTTGCTTTAGATCTCAGAGGAGACTTGGGACACGGACTTTTCAGCAATATTGACACTGTTAGGACTTTGGCAGCTCTTAGAGATGGAATAAATGGGTTTTTTGTTTTGTTTTGTTTTTTTGCATAAAGGATGTGTGTGTGTCTTTGGGGAAATCTTTCCTTCCTTCATTTTAGGTATTGGATATTTTTCTCAGCAATAAAAGAAAAGTAACCAAGATAGTACATACCAGCCATGTATCTTTGTAAAATACAGAATTTGGTTTGGTAGATTAAGACCTAACATTCTGCATCTCTTACAGTTGGCTAATTGATGCCAATACCACTGCTCTGTGACCCACTGTTTGAGCAACAAACTTTTGTAACATATATCTATGTCTTTCCTGGCTTCATCAAACATTTTCTGGCTTCATCAAACTGATTCCTATTATTTGCAAATAAACAATTCTCAAGACATGACATACCTGCATAGATATTAGGCATTTAATAAGTGTTCATTGAATTGAGTTAAGGCTATAAATTTTACTGTGTTTTACACTATCTAAGTATAGACTTTGCCTTGGTCATTGGCTTTGACATGTAGGTTTTAAAATTAGTTTCAATTTTTAAGAATATTTTATGATTATTCCTCAGTATGCAATGTTTAGTTTTTCTCTTTGACCAGAGTATGGAAAACATATTTTTTTAAAAAATTATGTAGTTGAGATGTTTGTAAATATATTGCTTTGTTTTGCTTATTTCTAGATTTATCATCCATATGTTAGAAATTATGTATATATTATTTCTATGTTTTGATTTTTTTTGTATTTCCTCTTGGAAATCTTTCAGTATATTCATATATTCAGTTAAATTACAGTTAGGGCTCCAAGGAAACTGTTCTGTCTCTTTCATATAACTTTCCATATAGTTGTTCAAATTCACTGTATGAGTACCTCTTTTATTCTTGAACTCTATGTAAAAATTTTTTTAAAATTACTTGAGATGGGTATCTTTAAGTTGCTTTGCATGCTATAATTCCTTCATACATACAATAAAAAAAGAAATATTGAATGCTTATAACCAAGCATTGCTATTAGGATTCAGTGAGTTAATACATATAAAATGTTTAGTTAACTTTGTGTTTTGACCATAGTAAATCTTTAAAAAATAACCTCCAGTTGATTTTTTTTTCCTGGAACCTGCAATTTTGTTTGATAGATTCAAGATGCTTTCTACTTTGATAGAGACAATGTGCTTTAACTTCATTTGAACCAAGAAAGTGGTGAGAGATGAGGAATAAGAGGAAGAGAAATAAACCTCTAAGGAACCAGAGAGGAGACAAAAGCTCACAAGCCCGGGTGATGTATAATGACCTTATTCAGGATCTCTCTTAAAGAAAATAAAAGTCAAGGTAAATTTGTTTCAAATATGTTTTATAAGATTCTCTGAAACATATGCAAAACTCCTGAGCAGTGTTTGCAGAGTGGACTCCCCATAATGAGAAATGTTCATTTCTACTTACTTGAAATGTTAGGAGGACTTGTTTTTGTCTACTGTGAATTGTGTGACCCTTCAGGATAGGGTTAGGTCTTCTATATCTTTTCCTCTTGGCCAAGTACAAGAATGAGGCAAAGAACTATGAAGCACAGTGTGAGAATTATGGGGATTGAGAGTCCACATTTTATTAGAGTCCAGCAGACTGGCCAAATTCCAGCCACTGCCTTAACAACTATATCTGGGGCTTCATATCTGTAAAGCTACCCTAGAGGACTAGGACTAGCTACCCTAGAGGTCCACAAATAATTAGCTCATCATAAATAGCAAGTGAATGGCCACTTAGTACACACGTGTACATGAAGACACACACACACACACACACACACACACACACACACACACTTTTCTATTGTCATCCCCCAATGTAATCATAAATAATCCACCAGGTTAAGTGGCATATGCTTGTAAACCCAGCACTGTTGGAGACTGACGCAAGATGATCGCAAGTTTGAGCCAAACCTGGGCAATTGTGAGACTTAACCAGACCTTGTCTCAAAATAATAATAATAATCATCATCAAATATAAAAGGTTAGGGATGTAGTTCAGTACAAAGGTTCTGAGTTTAATCCCTTTTATCGCCCCTAAAATTCCTTTTATATATAAATAACCAATAAATAATTTTTAAATGTCAACAACTAGCACTTGAGGTTTGGTGGTTCAGCGAGACAAATTTAAAATTTCGTCCCGCATTATTCATCCTCACTGCAAGTCTATCAAAAAAAAAATAGAGCAAAATTGCATTTCTTCCTTCATATTTTATATCTGCAAACAGGCTTCTGTCTAGGATTCATGTCTCCCAAGAATCTCTTCAGATGGGTGATTTTACGGCCACTGGAAAGAAACGTTTCTCATCTTTCAGCGGAGGAAACTCAGGGCACAGTTCCTTTACTAAGTTCACGTGCCACATTCCCATTCTCTTCTCTAAAGGTCGTCCTCTGAACTCTCCATCTGAAGACAGGACAAGCGTTTGGCTGAAGATCGGACTGACACTGAGCTGTGTCAGCTTGTGTGTTATACTCTCGGGCTCTTCCGGGCTCGGGTCAAACCAGAGGGAGCGGAAGGACGGTCATCCTCTGCGAGGTCGCCTTGGGGCACTGGATTTAGTCAGGAGCAGCAGCTTCCTGACACTAGGATCTTCAGGTCAGAAGAGAATTTGGGCCAGTCTATTCCTCATCGTTATGCTTCACTCCTCCTGCGATCCTTATTTCTCCTAGCCCGCTACTTGGCTAGCAAAGTTCTGTGCTGACTAACTGGCGAACATTCTCACTGATCCAAACCCACTGACACTACTGACCCCGATGGAACTACAGCTTCCCGCCAGCCCATACTCACGCCGAATCGGTCCATTTCCCCACGGCCAATCAGGGCTTCACACACGGCCACGTCAGCCAATCCAAACAAGCCGACGTGCGGCGGCCAAATAGTGTTCCGGAGCGCCAGGGTCCCGGTTGAGGGGGCGGGGGCTCGGGGTGTGGTCGGCTCTGACTTGAAGTGTGTGCTGCCTTCCAATTGGCTGCGAGCTTCAGTGACTTGACGCTTATTGGCTGGTGCCGGCGGGCTGGGGAACCGAACCAACCTCAACCGAGTGGTGTGGGCCGAACTGGTGAGTGTGGCATCCCCCGGACCTGCCCGGGAGCCTCAGGTATGGATGAGAGCAGCCTCGGAACCCCGAGGCGGGAGCGGGACGGCCTGGGAGAAAGGACGAGGCGTTGGGGCGCCTTCCCGGAGCGTTTTCCGTGCCCTCGCGGCGGCGGGGAGAGGGGAGCGGTGGGGTCGAGGATGGCGGACTCGGCTGGCTATGTGGCCCCCGCGGGCCTGCGGCGGGAAAGAGGAGGGCGCCCGGCTCCGCGCAACGCACCGGTTTTAGGCCGATGGTGCCTGCTCAGCCTCAGTTTCTCCGTCTGTTAAATTGAGGAGGGGCGGTGATTAAGTATGAAGTCCGGATCCGGGCGGGGCACGGCGCCTCCTAGAGCTTAGTAGAAGACCTGATTGACGGGAAGTCCGTCGCTTCCTACACCGAGCGCTGATGGGGAGGATGTTGGTGACTGGGAACCTCCTTTCCCGGGCTCAGTCTCCCCGGTGCGGTGCTCTGAGTATGAACTCATGTGAGTCCCCGTCAATCATTTCGTCTTTTGCACTCGAGAAAGATTACCTGAGATATTTGGCCTCAGCAGCCCGACACAGTGTAAGCAGTGTGTTGTGGGGCCCGGTCAAGGTTGTGGTTGTTTGTTTGTTTTTATATTGGAAAGTCTTTCCCAGTCTGATCAGCATTTTTTATAGACCTTTAGACTATGAAGCTGTGGTTGGCTTCCAGCACTTTTTGAGGTTAGACCCTTAGGCGAGGTCAGAATCCCAAGGCTGGAATTCTGACTCCATCCTTTTTAGCTGAACTATCTTGGACAAGTGACTTTACCTTCCTGTGGTCATTTTCCTTTACAGTAGGGATAGTGGCAGGATGGAAAGTTATTTATGAGACTGAGATGAAATGTAAAGCCACCAGAATGATCAACTGCGTAGTAGATGATCAATAACTATTAGAACTTACTATTTTAATAAAGACAGAGCATTAGGAGTTTTGAACACTAATTTGGACTCAAAATTAAAACTGTCATGTTGAAATTTAAGTGCTGTGTTCCATGTAGTAGAAAGTCTCAAATTTATAAAGCTATTAAGATGAGCTATCAAAACACAAGATAAAAAAAAAAAAACACAAGATCGTGCAGAACTATGATTCCACGTCACATTTTAAATAGCCCCTGAAAGGACCAGTCTCCAGAAATGAGAAACTACTGAATTTGACAGAATTTGAAAAGCTAAATTACCAGTCAAGATTTATTGAAAAACAAGTATATACCAAAGTTTTTGTGTAATAAAATACAATTTTATTTACAGGGCTTTGGTTTGTGTACGTTGGACAAGCTCTGTAGCGTGTCAAATTGAAATTATTCATGTATGTGAAAACTAATTAGTGGAGAGTTAAACAGTTGTGCATGAATTCTTCAAGTATTCTCACTTAGTCATTTTATCTAAGTGCAGATTCTTGTGTGTCTCACTTTTTATCAGATGAGTTTTTTAAATGTTCCATATTTCAGATAACTTACTGCCATTTCACATGTGACATATATTTGAGAATATTTGGAGAGGGTTGATCAAGATGATAGTGCTGATAGATGGAATTTCCCTCGAGGAAACTGACTACTCTGTGATGCACCCTATATCTAACAGTGTTCATTCAGAAATGTGGACATGAAAAACATAAAAGTTAATTTCACAAAAATTTGAAAGTGGACATTATTCAGCATTTTGCCACAGGACTGATAAGACTACTTTGTCTTCTATATGGAATTGTTAGAATCTGATATGATTTTAAATAGTGCCTGTTGACAATGTGTTGGAGAATTTCAAGAAAATGAATAAAAAGATTGAATTAGTAAGTGGCAATTTAGAATGGTATTTAAAACATTTTTCACAATTGGATATTGAAGAAGGGCGAGTTGTGTGATTTTCTTTCAATTGACCTAAGTGGTATTATATTTGGAGAAAGCTGAAGCCTTCACAAACCCGCCACTATCTGCTCCTCCTTGGTTCTAAAATATATTTGGAAAAGTTCATGTTGGGAGTGATGTGGATTATTCACACACAGCAGTTTACACAGTGACCATTATTCCACTTTGGACTTATTCTTGATTAAAGTAAATTCTGCAAGAATTAATTGGCTGATTAAACTCTTTGATGGGTTAAAAAAAAAGCTATCTGATTTTATACTTATTTCATTATCTGCTATACTACCATCCTCAATGAGGCATGTGTTAGCTTTTCTTCACTGTGACTAAATATTTGACAATAACAGTTCATCAGAGCAAAGATTTGAGTAGAGAATCATGATTTGAGAGGTTTTAATCCATACTGCCTTGGCCCCCTTGTTTTTAGGTCTGTGGAGAGATAGAAGTGTAGAACACAGCAGTGGACAGCTGCTCATCTCATAGTGGCCAAGAAAGGCCATCTGGAGGTGTTGAGTAGTTACCCAGAAGATGGCTACTATTTGTTCCTGAAAAAAGTCTTTGGAATAGATTAATTATATAGGAAAGGAAAAGATGGCAAAGAGTAATAAGCATTAAGGGGCCAAGAGGCTTAGGAGCCAGTGAAGAGGAAGACAAAACATCACTGAAAGAGCCTTCAAGGGCTTTGGAAACCCATTCACAAAGGCATTTTACCCTATCTCTGCCAGCAGCATTATTCTTGGAGTAGAGCACATCTGCCACCCGGGGAAACTGTCAAGAGATCAAGGCCTTTGTGGTTCTAGAGGGTGTCTGAAGCCCAAGAGTCTGCCTGTCTTGAAAGTGTCCCGGTTTTCCCGGGGCTCTGAGTCCCCTCAAAGACAGACTCCTGGAGCCCCATCCCCATTCCACTTCCTGTGACTATTCTCAGGGTGGCCCTTTGGGGACTAGCCAATCCTAGGATCAGTTACCACTGAACAGTAAATTGTTACCATGAGGAACAGTGAGGCATCTGGCGATGAAAAGGATTGAAGTAGGCTTCAGGACCTGGAACACTGGAACTCAATGGAAAGATGTGAGTTAGAGATAAATATTTGAGTATTGGCAGCATATACATAGGAAACATGTACTCCTGTCCACCAGTCTTCCATTTTATTATATTAGATGAGTGTTTTTAATAACTATCATAAAACCTGATTACTATCCCAGACCCACAGTTAGTCATCTTGAGGACTTAAAAAAAAAACAAAAACCAACTTGTGCTGTGGCCCCAGTGTCAGAGATTCTGATTAATTCATTTGCAGTAAGGTCTGGTGATAGGTATCTTTTACATCAGCGTATATTGTGAAGCCACATTTGTACATAGTTGCCTGTGGTATCAAATTGCAGTTTTTACTGACGCTGATCTTGGTTTCTATAACAGAAAGAAAAAAATGGAAGACGTGCCTGATATTGCTTCCTTTTCATCTAAACTTAAAAACACCCTAATCCTATACCATAACATTGAAGATGAGAAGTGGCGAGTTGCAAAGAAAACGGTAAGTTTGTTCAATTACTTATCGTTTATATTTGTGTAATATTCAGTGGTTTGGTTGATGAACTTTTCTCTCCATCACCCTTTTTATTGTGGTAATGGAGATTAAATGTGGGACCTTTGCACTGAGCTATAACCTTAGCCTTTTTTTTTTAAAAAGACAGAGTCTTGCTAAATTTTTAAGTTGCCCAAGATGAGCTTAAATTTGTAATCTTCCTACCTCAGCCTTCCAGAGTGCTGAGATTAAAGGTGTGTGCCACTGTGCCTTAAAATCTTCAAAATGGAGTGGAAAGATATAGAGAAGTGGCCATGGATATACAAAATAGATAACTGGGCAAATAGGGTTAGTGGAAAGAGCATTGTAGTAATAATCCTGCACTGCTTTCATTAGCTCATTAGCTCTTTAGACTATTGGAGCCTAAAGAACAGCTTTTTGAGTCAATATATAAAATGTATTATTATTAATTTAAAGAACTATACTAATTGGTAATTTGCAGTAGTATCAGATGTGTCATGTAGCGTTAAGGGGTGAGGATGGCAGTTAGTATTTGTCTTTACTAACATGGCTTTCCCACACTACTACATGGCTGAGTGCCATCACACCCAAGTCTAGAAGCCAGGACTCTTCTAGTCCTGGCTGTTCAGGGGCTCTACTGCTGTAGTTATTCTGATATTCAAAATTCTTTGGGAAAAAAATTTAGGCACTAATTCAAGATAATATAGTCCTAGCGAATGTGAATGATTTAATCTTTTAAAGGTTTGAATAGTGTGAGAATGAGACATTTAATGTTTTAATGGCATAGTTGGAATGTATCAGTAATCATAAATACATAAGATCAGAATGAAGCAAATAATAATGGCCAATAAGATATTGCCACTGAATCTTACATTGTTTGAGTTTCATTAAGCTACTGAAAATCTTTTCTGAAGTTCTGTAATGTAAGTACAGTGTGAAATAGAAGATATTCAAATGTGGATCACTTTGTAGCATAGATAACTTTTAAATTTTATAATGCTTAGACAAGTGTTTTAGACACAAAATTGTTAGTTTTGTAGCCAAGGTTCTATATAAGTAATTATTATCATAAAATGTTTTCATTTTTTAGAGAGATGTAACAGTTTGGAGAAAACCCTCAGAAGAATTTAATGGATATCTGTAAGTAATATCAGTTTTGTGTAGTTCTTAAGACATTGTTAAACCTCATATATATATGTGATATTAAATCATTATTCCTAATGAGAGTTAGCTTTTACTTAAGATCAAATCCAACTCTAAATAGTAGTATTGTGAATAATTTTATTTTCCCTGTTTTTCATCTTTGCTTGTATTTAACATGAGTTATGTACATATATATATATGTGTACATAATATATACATATATATTATATTTGAATTTTAAAGCCAATAGAGACAGTTGCTTTGCATAGTTGGAGTAGAATGTACACATCCTTAAGACTCATTCCTTTTTAAAAATGAAACTGCTGTCCCCACTTGGTATATATAAAATGTTCAGATGTGTAACTCCAAAGACAATGTTTTCGGAAAATGAGTTGTACAATGTTTATGAGAAGTATAAAGGAAACTCGAGTTGCACAAGGCATTGTAAACAAGTGGAAATTAATCCTTTAGCTCAGTAATTCCTAGTGGGGTTGAAAGTATAAAGTGCCAAGAGAGCACTATACTTGAAGATTTGAAAAGACGTCATAGAAAGGCAAATACCTTCAGGAGAGACTTGAAAGAGGAGTAGCTGTTCTTGAGGAATGAAGGGCCGACTCCTACTCCAGGGAGAGGGGATTGTGTGGGCTGCGTAAACACAGATTACAAACACCTGCACAGCTATGTTTATACGACTGGAGTGTAAAGCATGTGGGAGGGGAAAGCATGAGCGTGTAGAGATACTGGATTCTAACTTCAGGAATTCAGTATTGCTTGCCTTCTGCCCAACCCAGCTCTCACACCCAGGTCCTCAAAGTGTGTTGAATTTCCTCTAATAGCATCATGAAAGATGGAAGTAAGTATGCAGAGCTCAAGAAACGGTTTTTAGCCTAGTGGTCTGTGATTAGCTTCTTGAATTGCCTTTCAGATGGAATACAAATTTTATAACTGTATTTTTTAGGAAGAAATTTATTGACTTTTTAAAAATTCTTGAAAGTACATGTGATCAAGAGGTCAAAACTGTTGTTACTGGGTTGGTCACAGAGTTTCCCAACTGAGACAACAAATAGCATGGGACTGAAAAGGTTACAGGTAATTGAAAGAAACGTCACGCTGCTGGTGGTGGTGGTGGTTAAGGTGGTGAGGAAGCCATAGCTAGTGTGTTCTGAGCACTGTGCATGTGGGAAATCATCTGATTAGAACATGGTGGTTGTCAATTCTGAATATGGCAATGAGTGTAAGAGTAAAAAGAGAGTCACACTGAGTCTGATTCCTAATTCTGTGTGACTGGATTAGTAACCCCACCTCCTACCCCACCCTAATCTAGAGAGCATAGGAATGAAGAGCAGACTTAGGATGGATGTATTATAGTATCTTATAGGCTGCTTTTGCCTGTACAAGGTGTGGTCAGAATATGCAGTGGAATCTTTAAAACTTATTACCAATTTTTTTTTAATTTGGCTTGAGACAAAATGATTAAACAGGCTCAGATGCTTTTTCCAAAAAAGTTACTGATAGAGATGAAACCAAACTATTTCATATTTTGTGTCCCTTCTCCAGAAATAATTACTGTCATATAGTTGTGTGTATTGTTTTTCTTTTATACTTTAACCGTGTATTTGTATGTCCATAAAAATATGCATTACCTGAAATGCCTTTTTAAAAATTTGTGTCTAATTTAGTAATTTGCCTGTTATAATTTTTTCTATTCAACTTATTTTCTTAAGATTAGTCACATTATTACTTATAGACCTATTCTTTTTTTGTGCTTGTAATTTTCTGGACAATGGTTCATACCTGTATCATGTACTCTGAACAACTACTGTGACTATAACTATATGCAATGTATTGATTATTATTATTCTAACTAACCTGCTTGTGTTAACTACTATTCTAACTAACCTGCAATGTGTTATTATTATTCTATACTAACCTGTTTTGAAACTCTGTTTTATTGTTATTTCTTACTTTTTTCTATTTAAAAAAAGACTAGCCACATTACCATCTCCAGACCTATTCTTTTACTTTAATGTGAATATGCCACAAAGTGTTTCTGTTTGCTTATTGATAGATTTTTAAATTGTTGCATATGCATATAAAACATTTCTATAGTCACTTCTAAATTTATGTTTCCTGTGCACAAGTAATTTTCTTTTGGTCTATAGGGTGAATATCGTCCCACTGTACTAGACATTGCCAGATTGCTTCCTAAAGAAGCAAGTAGTTTAGTAGTTTAATGCTCCTCCATTCAATACTTATTATCACGTATTTAATCTTTGCCATCTAAGGGGTATGAAAGAGATGGCATCCTGCTAGAATGTACATGATTACTAGTGAAATCGTGCATCTTTTTTATATTTATTGACATTTGAGATCCATCTTAAATCCAACTTTACTTTGGGTTGTCTTTTTTGATTGGCATGTAGGAATTATTCTTGTGTCTTCTTTAATAATTGTATGTTTATGTGTGCTCACATAGCTTTGCTAGTCTATTTGTAGTTTCAGAAATTTACTTTTTCATATATAATATGCACATTTTAAATGGTAACTACTATTTTGTATTATTTGTATTTTTGTGTATTTTATGTATTCCAGAAAGTGGCTGTATCCTGATACTACAAAAATGTAGTCTTGTAGGTATTTTCTCAAAGTTTGAAAGTTTACATTTTATACAGAGGAATTTAACTTATCTCGAATTGCTCTGAATTCTGTGAAGTGAGGATACCTGTTTTATTTTCACAATGACAGATACTGAATTGAGGATCATTTATGAAATAGTACATTTTCCTCCACTGATATGGTACTTTTAAAATATGCCAACTTCCAATATATTCAGGAGGCAGTTCCTTAGGGTTCTGTTCTATTGTCCTATTTTTTCCATACCTAATAGAAGTTGTTTAACATCAAGTTGTGTATATATATATATATATTTTTTTTTTTTTTGGATAATCAAAAAGTGGATAATATGCAAAATAAATGGATGTATTACAGCATTTTATAGACTGCTTTTGTCTGTATAAGGTGTCATCAACATATTCTGTGAAAGTTTTAAAAATTATTACCAATAAAAAGAGTCATTGCCATTAATACATCTCAAAATATTCCTCCCCGCTTTGAACACACTTACCCATGGTTCTTACCACTTTCTGAAACATTCCTAGAAATTTTCTTTAGTCAGTGTTTCTACAAGGTATGTTAAAAAATACACTGAATGCTGCTACTGAAAGCCATCCAATGGAAAGGCAGACCTGTGAAAACATTATGAGGTGTCCTCATGTGCCTTATTCACTGGATCTGGCACAGTGTGACTTCTGGCTTTTCCCCAAAGTGAAAGCAAGATAAATGTTTTCAGTCAGTTCAGGTCACAGAGGCAGCCTGGAAACCAGCAACATGAAACTAGAACTGCTTCACCAGGAGGCAAGAATGATGAAATATGTGTGTTTGCAAAGAGGGAGGAGGTATTTTGAGCATGGCTAATGGCTTTATGTGTTTTTTAAAAATTAACCATTCACTGTATTTTTTGATCATACCTTAAGGCAGGAAAGGACTTTGCTGTGTCCATGGTGACACATAGGATAGCCTTTAGTTCTCTAATTAGATTTGAGGACAAAGGGCATTTTTATTAATTTTTACTTTTATAGTTAGTTCTGAACTATGAAGTTATGCTGAAGTATCTCATTCTGATAGCTTTTTTTTTTTCCCTCAGCTACAAAGCCCAAGGTGTTGTAGATGATGTTGTCAATGCTATAATAGATCATATACGCCCTGGGCCTTTCCGCTTGGATTGGGACCGCCTAATGACTTCACTGGATATTTTGAAGCACCTTGAGGAGGTATCGGTTTAGAATCGTTAATTCAGATATCTGTGTGTGTGTGTGTTGTGTGTGTGTGAGAGAGAGAGAGAGACAGAGAGCGCACATGCATGAATGTGAACCTGAGCATTTGTATACACTTACATTCATTACTTTGAGAATAATAGTCATAGCACAGCTCTCACAAGGGAATCATGTACTACCTCTTAAAAAGCTTGAATTTCCTTATATTAATTAATGAATGATAGGACTGACTTTGTCTTCGGTAATAGCTCTATCATAGTTGCATAAGAAAATCTTAAGCATTTTTAATTCTTATTCCTTAAAAGTTAATACTTAGTTAAAATTCTAGAACCCTAAAATTCTGAAAATGTCACCATCAACATTCTTGTGGATTTTTATCTTCAACAGTGTAAGCTAGTCTACATTCCTTAATCTCATAGAATCCATATTATGTAGAATAATATTCTACATGAATGAAATTCAGTATTAATTTCTAAGTAAGTGAGTATTGGGATACTGAGTAACTTGTCCTCTGCATATTTTAATTATGTATCTTCTTCCTGTCCATACAAGAGCAGTGAGATTTAGAATAGAGAATCACTGTAAGAATAACTACCAAATAAAACATTTTAAATATTAATTTTTGCTAGAGAATAATTCAGGATATATAAGTCTTAAGTGTGTATTTCCTATAATAGTAACACCTGTCTTACACTATCTTTTCTTCAGAATTCCTGTGTGATGCGTTACACTACTGCTGGTCAGCTTTGGGATCTAATTTCCCCAAGAGAGTTCATTGATTTTTCCTACACTGTGGACTATAAAGAAGGACTTTTATCCTGTGGTAATAACTTCAAATCCTTGGACTTTTCTTCAGTTTGATGTAGATGTTTTGAGTTTTCTAGCTTGATGTTTGAGATGTTGACTGCATGGTTATTGACAAAGGTTTGGTTTTTTTTTTTTTTTTTTTTTTTTTTTTTTTTTTTTTTTTTTTAGTACTAGACTCTAAGGAGTGAGGTAACAATTTAGGAAGAGGTTTGAAATCTTTTTTACACAGTTTTGTTTCTAGTTTTCTAGTTACATTTTTTAGGTGACAAGTAGCAGAAAGGGATCACTTGACTGCTTCTGAGAAAGGAATCCAGGAAGTGGATTACCTTCTAAGCTGTTCTCAGCAAAGAGATTCTTGATATAAGTGGGGCCGAGGAGAAATCAGACAAATATATGATGGAATATTTTTTCCTTTTTGGAGCTATGTTATGTTATTCAAGATTAAAAGTGTGTCATTAGAAGGCTCCTGTTTTCTAAAATATATAGATAAATTAATTGCTTTGTACGTAGTACACACTTGACTTTACAGTTGTCGCAGAACATCTATTTTTGTTCTAATAAGCCAGTACTAGAGTTGGCTATGGTAGTCCTTATAGGAGACAGCTGTGGTATCATGGATTTGATAATTGGCACTTTGAAGCCTGGCTGCTACCACTAAGATTTGTCGTTTCCAAGGGAGTATCAAGGTGACATGATGTAATTATTCTGAAGGGATTAGAAATTTCGCTGTTACCTATCTATCAACCTTTGTCAGCATTTTCCTTGGTGACTGCCTTTTTTGTTCTGCTGTGGTTACTCATGGGGCTTAGTTTTCATCTATATGGATATGAAGAAAGATATTTAAAAAGAAATACGGTAATATTTTTAAATGAAAGTTGAAGACAGAATCAGTCATTGTTATTAATAGCAGTATTTTAAATTTGCCTTGTAGGAGTAAGTGTTGACTGGAGTGAAAAGAGACCAGAGTTTGTTCGTGGATTTAATCATCCCTGTGGCTGGTTTTGTGTCCCACTTAAAGACAATCCAAACCAGAGTCTGTTGACTGGCTATATTCAGACAGATTTACGTGGAATGATTCCTCAGTCTGCGGTAGACACGGCCATGGCAAGCACCTTAACCAACTTCTATGGGGATTTACGGAAAGCCTTACAAAAAGTATAATATATTCAAACTTGTACTGTGATCCTAGAATCAGTTCTTTCCTTTAGCTTGTGGCCTGTAAAATTCCACAGTTCCTGTTTCTGTATATCCCGTGGAAACATTTGGAGTGTTTTTGGTTTAATAGTATAGTATTTTATGTTGTTGCTAAAGTACATATCTATTTAAGAGAGTATAGAGCTATTTAAAGTACATAGCTATTTGAGGACATTTCAGTTTTCTTAAACTTCTATTTGCACATTGTTTGGTATAGCAGTGTATTTATGAGAAGGAGATAAGTAGTTCTTTGGCCCAGACTCAAGAAATTGAACTGTGACTTGTGTATATTTGGGCTTTTTAGAAATTAGAGAAAGCACAAGTTTCATTCTCTTCATATATTCTCTTTTAGAGCTTCTTGAACATTTTATAAAATTTTTCAAGGTAAAGGAAAGTGCTTTACTTTTAATTTGTTCTATGAGTTTGTCAGTATCTTGGGCAAAATTTGTAAAGATGAAATTCATTGTCAATTGACTTGTCCCACTTTAGGTATTGAAAAAAATGAGAATAGATGGTATAGTAACTATAAATACAAATTCAAATACAATTTAGTTTTGATATCTAGATACCATTCTTTTGTAATATCTTAAAAATACATTTGTTACTTATTGCATTGATTTTGGGAGTTGTACGAAAATTTTCCAGACAGACATTGGGGACATAACACTGGCTGAGCAATCATCTGTGCTGGATGAAATATCTGGTGGTGTCCTGTGGTCAGCAATGGAGAGTCACTGTCTAGAAAGTCAAATTCAGTGAATATTCTGTATATCTTTCAGTTTTGAGAATGCTTTCAACTCACAAATCATCATAAGCATTCATATTTGTGATGTAACTTATGTGCAACTATGGCTTTTTAGATTTAGCCAAATGCCTAGATAGGTCCTCTGATTCTATGGCTGCGTTAAGTGAATATTGCTTAATGGTTTTCAGCTTTCCAAATCGTTCTTTGGCTCTTAAATTATCCATTTAGTTTACTTCTGAAGTGAGAATTCGATGAAACTCGGTGTGCCCTGGAAAATCGTTATGTGCACGTAAACACACCTTGAGATCTACTTCAGTTTTCAGAATGTCAGTTCTTTATATGGTACTGTTTCCATCATTTCTTTTTTCTTTTTCTTTCTTGTTTTTTTTTCTTTTTCTACTTCTTTTGTCTAGCATGGGAAAAAGTGAGCCTCTGAAGTAATTATACACTGCCAGGCTACAAAAAAGCACAAAATTACATAGTGGTTCAAACTCATGAAAGTTTGATGTTTGTTCTGCTTGAGTGCTTTCCTTGAATGTAAAGAAAGAATTATTTTTATAAGACTCATTTTGATGAAGTAAGAAAAAAATGAAGTTGTTTTGTTTTTTATTACTATTTTGCTATGAAGATAATGTTCAAATAACAAAATTTGGCAGCATAGGGGCTGGGGATTCAGTGGCATAAGTACCTGCCTTGCAAGCAGGTGGTCGTGAGTTCGATCTCCAGTACCGATAAAAATGAAAAAGACCAAAAAAAAAAAAAAAAATTGGCAGCATCAGGCTGAAATAGTATTTCCAGATCCTACAGAAGTGATGTACAAAAGATTCTGTATTCTTAATTGAAGTTTATGAATCAACTGATACTCATTTCTAAATTGACTATAACTTTTGAATTACTAGATCTCTCTGCTATTTTTTTTTATTTTTGCAATAAGGAAAGAAAATGCAGTTTAGTTTTGAGTGACCAGTGGAACTGCTAAATGTTATCTTAGCTTCATCTGTATTCCTTCATTTCTTAGTGTAGAGTAATAAAGTATAGATCTCTTATATTTCAGTGTTCTATTCACGATGGTGAAATGTCAGCAGCCTCCAGCCTGATGAAAATAACTATAAGAGGTCTTGTTTGGTTTTGTTTATACGAATAAAAGTATACATGATTTTAAACTCTGGAAACTTGTAACAATATATTAATTATGTTATGGCAGATGTCATAATATAATAATTTAACAATGCAGTCTGGGATTGATATTAACATATAATTGAATCTACTGCTTCTATACTGCTGTAGTATAGAAAGCTAATCTCAGCCATATATGTAATTAAAAATATTCAAGTAACCACTTTTAAAAATATAAATAATTGAAGTTAACTTTATAATTATCTTTCACTCATGCAGAATAGTATCATTTCAACATGTAATCAAGGTAAACAATTATTAAGATAGCTTATTTTCTTTTTTATAGTAATTCTTTGAAATCTAATATGTGTTTGGATAATTTAGGTAAGCTATGTTTTAAGGGCTTATTAGCAACATGAGGTCAGTGGTTGCTTTAATAAATTGCATGGTTTCATAGTATATGTATTAATTTGTCTTGCTATAAGATGAAATAGACAATTTCATGGAATTACTCTTTTAAATAGAAATCTTTCCTAGTCTCTAGAGCCTTCAGTACTAAGAAGGTCCTCCAATAAAATAAAAATTATTTCCCCAAAATATTTTTTAAAGAAAAATAACTTTTAATCGAGCAGTTAAGGAAATAAAATAATAGAATTTTGTTATTCTGTGATCGATTATTGTAGTTTATAACTAGAGTATTCTAGAGACTTGTATATATAGAAAATATTTGGCATAGTACTGTTTTCAATATATAGTAGCTATATTTTTAAGGAAATTAGTTTTATACAGTAATTTTTATAAGTGACATTTGCATGAAACAATGTGTGTTGAGAGTTCATGATTAAACAAAAATGGTTATGAGAATTTAATGTTTTGTAGTATTGGTAATATAAACTGCTGCACTATTAGAGATACTATAAATATTAGAATGTCATTTCAGTGTTAAGATAGGATGTGTTTGAAATTGTGTATTTCCATGAGTAAAATTATGTCCCAATTAATGAGTTTTCTTTTTCCCCCTTTTCCTTTCTTTTCTAATTGACTTTATTTAAATCAGTAGGCTGAATTAATATCTCCAGTTAAAAACTATAATTGAGGTTGCCTCGGAGAAGATAGGAGAACATTGCACAGTTTAACCCCCTGATCATGTATTGAGCTTTTAGGTCTGAGTGTTCCCTTTCATGTAAATAAATTTACTTGTTTACTCAAGAGTATACAGCATCATTAGAATCAGGTGTTAAATCCAATTTCTTTTAGTTGAATGGATACTATAGCTTTTTCAGCCAAGAGATAAATTAACAAAACCAAGAGAAGCTAATAGAAATCTGGATTTGCCCAACTTCTCATTAAAAGTTGGATTTACTTTTCCGATGTATTTGCCATCTCTGTCTTTTTATTTTTCTTTTTTCTTCATGATACCAACGAATCAAATCCATGGCCTCACACGTGCTAGGCAAGTACTCTTGAGTTACATCCTAGCCTCTAGTTGATTCATTCAGCTTCTAAAAGTAGGGAATGATAAGACCTAAACAGAGAAGATTAATCTCAGAGCACGGAGGTGAAAATTATAATACTTTTTCAGTATATTGTTTCCAAAGACCTTACATATTTACTGCTAAGTATTAAATTCATCTCTTGCAATTCAATTAAAGTTATGCTATATAGATATTTTAATAAGTTTATAATTTTTCTGAACTAGTATGTAAATGTGGAATATTTAATAAGCTAATAAGAGCATGTATTCATATAAATAAAATATTTTTAAATTGCTATGAAATATCAGAATAAAGATTTCTAGATACTTGTATTGATTTTGTGTATGTTGCTTTCACGTCAAGTACTATACTAGATGTTTAAAGTATGTAACTTCATGAACTATAACAAAAGAGAAACATAAACCTAGAGAACAGTTAAAACATCTGAATCTCCCTTCAATGTCTTGAAATATTCTGCTGACTCTTAATTTGCTTTTGTATTAGTAAGCTTTGCACCATTATAATAAGATACCTGAGGAAGTTAATTTAAAAAGTTGAACACTTTCTTGTGGATCATAGTTCTGGGAGTTCTGGTTCAGCATCAGGTGGCCTCACACTTTGGACCCTGGCGAGGGCACTATGTCATAATGAGAGTATATGGCAAAGGCATCTGCTTACTTGTTGAGCTAGGAAATGAGGTAAAGAAGAGACCAGAGTCTGACAGTCCCCATTAAGGGTGTGTCCCAGCACCCGTGGAGCTCCTGTTGGCCAAGGTCTGTCAGTAAATAGCACCAGCCTGACACTCACCCTCTAACACAGGAACGCCTAGGGGACATGCAAAATCCAAACTGCAGCAACTATTCTATAGCTCGGACAAATCCATGTATTCTTGCATTACTACAAATAGCATAGTTAAGGTTTATTGTACACATGTTCAAATAACTGCTAAGTTGTTTAGGAGTTAATGGACCATCTCATTTGGAAGTCAGAATTGTTGTAAATAATTGTGAGGCCACTCATCATCTTGTACTCTAGCAGTGAGGGATGCTGGGATAGTCTGTAATAGAAAATATGACTCTGCAGTAGCTAAATGAGTTATTTCTTCATTTAATTTAAAATCTGGTTCTATTACCTAAATGCTTGTGTTCCCCATAATTCATATGTCAAAACCCTAATTCCGAAGAGGATAACTTTAGGGAGGTAGAGGTGATTAGGTCACCTTCCTGAATGTACTCAGTGCCCTAAACAAGGGACCTAAGTGAGATTCTTTGTTCCTCCTGCTGTGTGAGAACACAGAAGAAAGCATCTGAGGAAGTGGACCCTAATGAATCACCAGATCTCCAGGAATCTTGTTACTGGACGTTCTCCAGAAATGTCAGAAATAAATTTCTATTCATAAAGCACCCAGTTTGGGCATTTATTGCAACTGGAATGGACTAAGATATATGGGTATCAGTAATTGTTAATGTTCTTCAGCCAAAGCATGAAAGGGCCAGTATTTCTACAGTGTGACAAGATGGCTGACTAACTCTGGAAGTCACGTAGACATTCAAGTTGAGATGACAGAGGTTAAGGTATGACACCTCTTCCTTCTATCAGAACAGCACCAGCTTTTCCAGAGGCCTCCACTTATTTTCTCCTTACTGTGGATCATATGACTCCCCAGAAACTAAAGGTGGCTGGGAAGAAGCATAAGGGTTTTAGCCTTTTTGAGAAATTGATCGAGACAGATCAAGCCAACCACAGCATTGGCCACTGGATGAACCTTGGGAAATATGTGGAAGGCTCTTCTAGATGTCCTATAGGAAAATAATGTTCCCTAAAATAGAAATGAAAAATAGTCATTTGATGGTTTCAAGAAACATTTTGTGAACCCCCCTCAATGGCAGATGTCACATGACTCTTTCAGTGAGGTGATAAAATGATGGAGCTCTTTCCCTCGCAGACCAACTCATGTTTGGTGTCACTGGCCTCCAGCATAAACTATTATTCTCATGCTTATTGCTGTGGTACAATGGATCCTTATGAAAGGTTTCCACAGCTAGGAGATGATAGAAGATTGCCAGAAAATGTGAACCACCAATGTATTTCAGGAGATTTAAAATACAGGGGTGGATCCATGCTATTTGTGTACAAGTGATTGGAGAGGTACAGAGCTCTGTGATTAAAAAATAGGGAGGAAGCAGGAGGCATAGGTTCTAAAATAGGGTTTCTTCAAAGCTGTTGTTTTTCAGATTTGCCTTCCAATTTAGTTTGGCTTTGGTGACATTTTTTAAGTAGAGGGCAGCTGACTTTCTTTAAAGGAAGTATTCTAGAAGTTATACAAACATATTGAATAAAATGTTTCATGATAGCAAAAAGTGATTTGCTGATAGAAGAGTTGCTTATCTCCACTATTTTCCTAAATTCCTTCAAGTGAGTGATCTTTCAGTAGAAGTGAATCTTCTCAACAAAGCCAGGATTCTGGATCCAGTGCCAACAAAAAGCAAACTGCATTTCTGCTGTCATATGATTCATATACTTCACACAAAATGTTAAATTATTGAATGATCAAGCGCAAGAAAGACTTGTACAAATCATGCTGCTTTCCTAGGGAGAACAAGTTTAAATATCACATAATTACTCTTATATGAGAAACCCAAGATGCAAGTAAAGAGCAAAATAAAGGAACAGAGAGAGAGGTCTTTTGCAGGAGAGGGGAAGGGGTGAATAAGAGAACTGAGATTTGTTGGTACATGCAACAACACCCCATGATGAATGTAATCATGCAATGCAAACAGGTATTACAAAAAGTTAACAGGTTTTTTTTCTTTTCCCAGTCTCAGGTCCTGTAGGTTTAAAAGTAACATTTTGAACTGAATAATCATCTAAACCAGCAGTTACACATTAGCATTATTATTTAGCATAGAAACAGAAAAAGGTACTGAGACTTGATTACTATGCAGCTATTGTAAATATTTTTATTTGTGGAGGTTATGCAAAAATGTGTTTGATACAATGATTAGTTGATACTACAAGGTTTACTACATGGTTACAAGTTTGTAAAAACAAATTAATGGGCCAGGGGTCTAGCTCAGTGGTGTAAGTGCCTGCCAAGCAAGCGTGAGGTTGTGAATTCAATTCCCAGTACCAAAACAACAACAAAAAAAAACCCCAAAATATTAATGCTAGAGAAAAAGACAGTAGTTGCTTTTAGAAAGTAGATAATTTTTCACTTTTCTACATTTTCAAATTTTTATAATGACAAATCATATGAATTGCTGCAAATGTGTTCAGCGAATCAATTCCCAAAGGTGAGAATTAGACTAGGAAATGGGTGGGTGGGGTCTGTTCTCAGTCACTGCAAACCTAGGTAAGGTATTACCTTTGTGGGTATTATATCTCTCTTTAAATAAAATAGACTTAATGGTTTTGTGATTTTACTCTACAGAAAATAAACATTTGAGTACTCAATGTTAAAAAGCTCTATGAGACTCAAAACATAACTTCGTCTGAAAGAAGGGAAAACACTCCAAGAATTCAACTGCATAATTCAAGCAGAAAGAAAATGTCTTTTGTGTTTTTCATCAAACATTTCAAATCACAGAAGGCACACAATTTTGATGGGCTTTCAGATGATTTATTATCATACTGTACATGCAAGTTGCTTTACAAATTTCCCAGTAGCAAGGTATAAGCTTCTTTTGGCTTTGTGACAGTCTGAGTAAATTTACACAAAGTAGCATTGTTCCTTACTAAGGTAAATTCCTACAGTTAGTCTACCAATGTCCACTTTGGCTCATGTCATGAAAACTTTAAGTTCCTGGAAAACATCCTTCCCTTCAAATGAACATAGTTAATCACTGAATTGGATTGTCCAACATGAATCCAAGAAGAAGTGACAGTGAGTCCCCATATTATCTGCCCCAGCTTTGGATAATTCAGAGAGCCAGTGATTGTCACATCTCATCTGTAGTAAGTGAGAACTCTGGTCAGTCACCACAGTGGAAGAGTAAGGTAGTTCAAAAAACAAATGGGCGTGATTTTGATGAATTCTCTACAAATATTCTCTGTATTTACATTTATGGTCAAGGCAGACAATACTTACCTAAAAATATTGTAATATATTTTTGCAGTAAGGAGTCAATAGCACCATTTTGACAAGTTTTAAAAATGAAGTGTTCACAGATATTTTTTCCCCAGTGCTTTTAAATTAGAAGTTGGGAGAGTAACTTTACAATCTTTCTGTAATTTTATATGTTTACTCTGTCCTTTAACTCCTGCTAGCTCTTAATTTTAATGATTTTCAGTCTAATTACTGGATACGTAAGTTTCCTGGATATGGTGATATTCCATAAATTTAATCCACCGTTGCTTTTTGAGGTCCTCGTGACCTTTTAGTCAAGACACCTCTGGACAACCTAGGAATACCGATTTTAAATCTAGGAAAGACTAGAAAAGACATACAAGGTAATGTCACATGAGCCTAAGAACTCCACGTTAGAAGTTTACCTTTCTCAGTACTTGCTGATGTTTTTTGTACCCTAACAATAGCTCTACTTTTTAGCTTCTCTTCCATCACTGAGATGATAGTCATTTTTGCCCTATTTCAGTTGCCCTGTGAAATAACATAGCCATTGATTAATCATAGACATTATCAGAAAGAAGCAAACTTGCAAGACAAAAGTATTTATACTGCAGTCTCATCCTAGTTGGTAATTTTTAAAAGTTTCTTGATGAATGTGAAAATATGGCCTGCAATGACTGATATACAAAGTACATGTAAATTAAGAGAGAGAGCTGAAGAAACAACAGTACAAGATTGATCTTTGGGTGAAGGAGTTCCGATCATTTTAAATTTTGTTGTTTGAGGCTTTGCTTCCTATAAGCTGCCATCTTCAGGGAGATTTCTATTTCAGGTTCTGTGAGAACCTGCCTTTCAGGTCAGATAACTTAAAAGGGTCCAAATAAAGACAACAATAACCTTGATTTGGGCCTCCACTAGCAAAGCTTTAGCAAGCAGATGACTGTCTATATCGAATAACGGAGATTTTAGAAACTTACTCAGATAATCACTTTCATAGTTTACCCCTTTTTGTTAATGAATGCCTGACCAATGCAGTGTTTACTTTCATTACTGGGGCTTTGCTTTCACTAGTGAGTTGCAAAAATTCTTTGATGCATTGGATGATTTGTGCTGTACTTAGAGGCATCCCAGCTTAGAAGGCTATGATGGAAGGCTAGATGCTCTGTGGAAAGGCTATTTCTTTGTCTAACCAAAACGAGAAAGGAGTAAGGAATCTTAATTCATTTTGCACAGGAGTTGAGACTCGGATGCAGACTTGGCAACACTTCCCTGTGGATTTCAGCCTTTCACACCTATAGCTGTTCTTTTATACTTTGCCTTGTGTTTCCTCATTAACCCCTCCACAGCGTTTTCCCTCCACTCTGTCAATGTCCAGGCCAGTCCTCACCCAGACAGGCCCCTTGTTACCTACAATGATTCTCCCCACTCATCAACTTGACCTGTATTTGCATGCAAATTTCCTCAATCATTTTGTACAGAAAGGAGGATTTTCTTCTTCCCATCCTTAGGGGGTTACCCTTGCCTAGATTTAGCACAGGCTGTGTATGTGTACCTGTCTTTCCCTTCTAACTAAAAGTCCACTCTTGGAGGCTAACGCTGTTCATCTCTGACTCCTCCATTGCATGTGTGAGCTTTTCTGTGGAAGTTTACTGGGAAATTAGTTCCTAAAATGGACTAATTTTGAGGAGCTTCAAAATTGGCACATCCTTTCCTTAAAATGTGCTTTTGGTGGAGGCTCAATATTCCCTAAATTATGCTATTTAATTTTGGGGGAAAATACTTATAAACTTTAGTCTACTCATTTCTAAGTACTTAAGTACATTGGTGATTGGTTCAGACTCTGAGCAACCCAGATGGGCTGGTGAGGATGTAGATTTTTAATCTACATTTTCATCTTTTCCTACCTGATTCTAGTATAAAATAAATCAGGTTAAAGAGAGGCAATTATGAGATGACAGTTTTCCATTTATGGTCACAATCGCATGTTTTACAAAACAGATTAAGTATTATCCATGTTTCCTTTCTATCAATGTATCAGTGATGAAAAACTGGTTGGTGACTCATAGCTTTCTTTTTTCTGAGTTCTATAATATATCTCAATGGCTATATGATATTACTGCAGTAGTTTAAAGAAAAGAATATTTTACTTAAGAGTCATCATACAGTTTTACTTATTCCTAATAAAATCCTGATAGTTGGTTTTCTATTTAACATTTCATTTACAAATTTTTGGCTACACATATTGAAAATTCAACTAAAACATAAGAATCACAAATGCTGAATTTGCAGTATCTGGGTCACCTGCTTCCCTGAAGGCAGGTATTTTGGAATGAGTAATTTCTCTGTGACAGAAATAAACTAAGAAAAGGTCCTTCTTGGGTTTCTAAATATGTAAGAAAAGTAGATGAAAGCATTTGCTCTTTTTAGCAAGAATGTCCTTTGGAAAAAAAATGAAATATAGAACACTCAGAGAATCATGGGGGTTAGGGAGTACTTTTCTTACATAAAAGAATTGGCTGTTTCTCTATTTCCTAAGTTATTGATGAGCAAGTCATTGGCCTATGGAATACATGATAAAGCATATTATTTCCTAAAAAGTATTAATAAAAGTCCAATTGATCCAAAATACTTCGGACCATTCTGAGACAGGCATAACCAAAGGACTGTTATTTCTTAGCTTACTAAGCAGCAGCTTCAGATTTAAATGCTGCCAAATGCTACTGTATTGTGTCATTTATATGATTTTAAAATATAAAGATCAAATTTCTAAAACATTCAAAATGCCAGAAATCTTACTTTCCTCTCTCAACCAACTCAATTTGTGCCCTAAATTTCCTTTTTTCACAAATGCTACAATTGTGAATTTTTAGTTCTGCCATGAAATTTCTCTCATGTCTTCAGTACAATTATTGTTGTGAGAGCTCTACAGTATGAGACAAAAATCACCTAAATTTCATCAGAGGCAATGGAAAAAAGAACCTTAGACAAAGGGAAAAACAAAACCCTGTATTGTGGAAATAATGTAGTTCTAGAGGTTACCAAGAAAAGATGGAGTGCCATGAAAAACTGGCATAATTTTTTTTTTTTTTTTCTGTGAAGGGCTAAATAAACATTTTAGGTGTTGTGGCTTCCTACAATCGATACTGAAAGTTACTCCTCTTTTCCCTGGCAAACTGAAGACATAAATAAGTTTGTTAGTGGATGTTCCAATGAAAATAGTTCTGTGAACTATTATTTGCCTCGCTCTTAAAAACTGTCCTACAGAGATGTAACTTTAGTTCTTTGGTGAATTATGTGAGAATTAGTTTTTTAAAAATGCATGTTTTATATGTACATATCAAAACCCAATGATAAATGATTGGTACTCAAGCAAAAACGAATGCTAACATTTGGCCCTTTTGTGTGTATCCTTAGGTAACTGGGCATAAAGACCTACTAAATCACCTGTTCCCACTCACTGAACTCACCAGACACTTTAAAATCTTGAGGGAAGCATCAACATTTATGAAATATGGAATAAAGCTTTACTATGATGACATTTTGATCTAACTACCTGATAAATGGACATGTTAGAACCTTCTTTTGATTTATAGATGGCCGTGAAAATAATACTGAGATGAAGGGTGCTATGAATAGAAAATATTAATAAATCATGAATATACTGTTTTGTAATCTGTGCTACTGTTAGCTGTATTGTGGGCATATAAAATAGATCAGGTGAAAGGCAGGACAATTATGAGTTGACAGTTTTCAATTTATGGTTTTACTGAATTTCACCCTTCACAAAACAGATTATTATCCATATATCAAGTAAAGGGCAAAGAAAAAACCTAGAAAATTTTTGCTCTTCACACTGATTTTCAGAACAACTTTCATAAACTCTAATGTAATGGCTACTGTATTTGAGTAGCTTGAAAGAACCCTTTATGTGGAAAATAAAGATTATTCAATCTGATTGAAGATTAAGTATTTGTCATTTTCACAAATCACAGCTAAGATCCTTTTGTCTACAAATATTTTATATTTATTGGTTTTCCAGGTCAATCTTCAAAATGCACTGAAAACAACTATTTATAAGTGTAACATGATTGTGCAGTTTCTGTTTAGAGTTTTAAATTAAATTCTGGGGGCTGGGGATTTAGCTCAGCGGCATAAGCATAAGCGCCTGCCTTGCAAGTGCGCAGTTGTGAGTTCAATTCCCGGTACAAACAAAACAAAACAAAAAAACAACTAAATTCTGGTCTAGTAAGGATCCCATGTTTCTCCTGCTAGTCTGAGATGCTCCTGCCAAGGATTTAGAAGACCTTCACTAACCTCAGGATATAGGGATGAACTGAAATCTCAGTTAGGGACAAGTGGTAGCAAATCAAGACAAGGAAAAAGCAAATAATTTGTGGAATCTGTTTTGTATTATTGCCAGTGGGAATACACCAATGTTCAAACAGATCACCTACAATCTTTTTGTTGGAACATGGGAAGAACTTTCCCTACTTTGCTAATTTCAGCTCAGCCAGGTTGGATGCTTGGAATCTTCTCTACAGCGGTGTCTGACTGTTGTGAATTTATCAGATGTTCTGCCTTCACGAGGAGGCTTCTATCTTACCCTCTCTGGGCCAGATGACAGCGAGCAGACTGAGATCTGACAGGATGCTAAAGTCATGCAATCTGTCAAAAGCTAGAACTGAACCCTGAATGTATCAGGGTATTTAAGAGACGTTAAAAAACATATTTTAGAAAATTATTGTGTACATTTCTGTTTATTATGTGGTATGAGCATTATAATCAGTATTGAAATTACATGTGCATAGAGTTTTTAAAAAACCATTGCAGACACGCAGGCTAATCATTAAGTAGTATTCAACTGGTTAATGCTCAAATGTTGTTAATGACCAGGAACATATTAGTAATAAATACTGAAGAAATTAGAGTATGTCCTAATAGGCAGTAATTACAAAGATATTACAAAATCTATTAAATAGATGTCTGGAAACTTTACATCATCTTAAGTGGAACTATATAACCAGACTGAATACTTTGCAATGACAAGTAAATTACACAATTTACTTGTGTAAATTACACAAGCATTGTAATTATGTAATTGATTCTGCTCTGTGTATATGTCAATTATATATGGAGTCAAACTTTAGTAATAAGCTGGTGCTAATTCAATGTTTATCTCATTTTGTGTGTGTGTGTGTGTGTGTGTGTGTGTGTGTGTGTTGTTTTGTTGTTTTTCAAGGACAATCCTAAACAAGAAAAAATGATTTACCAACTATATTCTTTGTCTTTTCTGGCATTTACCTTTCTTTTTCCAATCAGAAACACAACCAGTGGCTTCTGTACAATAAAAACTGAATTATAAAACAAAATGTCTCCTTTTAAGTTATCAGCTTGTAGGCAAACCACAATTAATTACCTTGCATGTGAAACTGGAAATAGGCATTGCTAAATATTCTAAATTACAGAATATGCTAAAATACCATGTAATTGAGGTCACAGTAAAGGCAAACTATTATTTTTGCCATCAAAAATGACTATAGAATTTTGATTATTCTAAAATCAGTATGTAAAAAAATTCCAAAAATCTATTTTTAAATTCATGTATAATGGCAGTGTTGATTAAACCTTTCTAAGGAAATCTAGGGCTTGCCAGCCAGTGGTTACATTCTTATTCTGGAGGTAACTGATGTAGCATCACTATCATCATACAATCTTCATCAGGCACATTTGTATGTTTCAGTAATTTCTAGATAGAGATGGTGTCCCATTAGTCCAGGAATAAAAGTCTGGATCCTGTTAAATTCTATTTCAAAGGGTGGTTGGCCCATAGTAGATTTTAGTAAGTGAGCGTGTTATTGACTTTATGGGTACACTCAGGAGACTTTAAGCTGTAGTCAGTATTTGAGGGCTCAAAAAGGGGTTAGAGGGACGGTAGTCACAGATAATTCACTAGTCCAGGAAGATGACCTTCTCTGAAGTCCTGCTGGAAACATCTCTGAGGCATATAAATGGGCAGTAGTAGCCAATAGTTTTTATTTCCTTTCATTCTATAATATTCCTGAAACATTTTGTTGGTCTCTCACCAACTCTTTAATATGGAAAACTGAAGCAGCGCAGATCTAAGCATTGAAATTCAAATGTCACTTTGTTTAAAAGATACCCTAGACCTGTGCTGTCTGATACAGAAGCCACCAGCTGCATGTGGCTACTGACTAATGAATGTACCAAAAGTATTACACATATTCCTAAGTTTGAAAACTTAGTATAAAAATAATTCAAAACATCTCAATTTTTAATACTGACTTTGTATTTGTAATCATAATCTGGATATCTTGCATTAAACATACCATAGTTAATTTAAGCTTTTTAATTTTTACTATGTGGTTGACAATTTAAAATTGTATATTAGACTTGAATTATACTAGGCAACACTCATTCCAGACAATAACTTCTACAACACCATCTTATTTTAATTTCAACACTTTTTTGGTCCCTAGCACACATAAGCTCTTAACTGTGTGAGAAAAGCTAGTGAAATTAAAACCAAATATTTATAATGGGGAAAATAATACAAAATAAACTTTCATAGTAAAAAAAAATCAAGTTTATGCAGTGTATCTGAGCTTCTTAAAATATAAACCAGTATTATTAATGCAATAATTGTCAGCTTTAAAATGCAAAATGTAATTTTTTTGCTGAAATTTTAAATATTCTCTTGCTTTGTGACTTCATTACTAATTAGGAACAGTGTTATGAAGTTTTTTCAGATTGTCTATCCTTACTTAGGTAAGTAATCTTTGAGATAGATAATATTTCCAGGTTTTAATAAGTAATGGCTGTTCTTTCAAAAATGGCAACGTAATTATCCTAACAAAATATATTTCTAATGCCTATCACCATGTACTAAAGTTTAAATCAGTCAAAGATCTAAATATTAAAATAGAAACACTAAATCTGTTGGAAGACAACATAGGTAAAAATCTTGAAGACATAGGGGTAAGCAGAGAATTCATGAACAAGAATCAAACAGCACAGGAAATACTTGCCAGAACAAATAACTGGGATCACGTCTTATTAAAGTGTTTCTGTGTGTCTAAAGTAGTCTTCAGCATACAGAAAAGAAAATCCACATATTGGGAAAAAATCTTAGTGAACTGTCCCTCAGACAAAGGTCTTCTGTCTAGAACATATAAAGAATTTAAAAAATTAGACCCCCGAAATTCAAAGACCCAATCCAAAAATAGGCATCTGAGATGAACACACAGTTCTCAGATGAAGAAATAGAAATGGCAAATAAGTACATGAAAAAATGTTCATCATCATTAGTCATCAGAGAAATGCAAATTAAAACCACTGAGGTTCCATCTCACTCCCAAAAAGAATGGCCAGGATCAAGAAAACTACCAACAACAAATGATGAAGAGGGAAAGGAACTCTTCTGCACTGTTGGTGGGAGTATAGACTGGTGCAACCACTGTGGAGGTCAGTCTGGAGATTCCTCAAAAAGCTGAGATTGGAAGTCCCATTTGACCCAGCTATTCCACTTCTAGGCATATTCCCAGAAGAACTGAAAACATCATATCACAGTGATATATGTGCACCCATGTTTTGAGCAGCACAATTTTTAATAGCCAGATCTTGGAAACAACCTAAGTGTCCATCACTGAGGAATCAGTCAAAAAGGTAAGGTATTTTATACAATGGCGTACTACTCAGCTATAAAGAATGATCACATGGAGATATTTATAAATAAGTGGATGCAACTTGAGACATACTTATAAGCAAAATAAATCAAACTCACATGTATAAATACCATATAGTCTCCCTAGTATAAGAAATGGTAAGAGTACATATGATTTTATGGTAATCATGATTCTCCATTACACTGCTGTGAAGCCTTATGTTTTCATTCATTAGTTGAAATGGTTTTATTCTGTTTTGATTTTATTATGTGTGATGGTATGAACAGCTACTTTGAAGAAAACAAGACATTGTGGCAGCCATTGCTGATTTAGTATCATCTTGCTTTGAAGTCCTACCATGCTTTTGTTCTTCTATTTCCATTGGTTCTATCATGTTGTATCTTATTGGATTTTAATGTGTGATAGTATAAACAAATTTTTTATGGAAGATGAGATATTATAGTAGCCATTGTTCATTTTCTGTTATTTGGTTCTGAATACCCTGTAATACTTTCATGCCCTTAATGGTTTTATACAATTTTGTTATGTTTGATATTATTGTGTGTGAAGGTATGCTCAACTAATTTCAAAGAAAGTGACAATATGCTAGCTACTGTTAATATCCAGTTGTTTTGTTGTGAAGTGCTATGTTTCTTATATTGTTCCGTTCTGATCTGTTTTGTTCTGTCCTCTTTCATTTTATTCTTTTTAAAATAAAAAAGATATTTCTATAAAGATGTGAATTTGATAGAAATGGTTACCTTAATAAAAATTTGATGTGTTTCCAATTGAATAGACTACATTAGCATGTAGGCATTATCAGGACATAATCTTTTACAGAGTCAAAATTAAAACTCCCATTGACTGATAGTGCAGTTTATAGGAATTACCATTCACAATCTTGAGTACTTACAAACAAATGGTCCCATGCCATCATTTAAGTGAGTAAATGCTGAACTACACACTGTCTGTGGCATTTGTAACGCTGGCCCTATAGTCCACAGGGCCAACCAATAAGGTCAGTCCCAGGGTTGGAATGAAGCCACATCTGTGCTTGGAACAAGATGTGGTAGGCTTGGAGTGATAATGGGTTCTGGTCTTCCACTAAATGCTGCTCTTCAACAAAGCCCTTTTTCCTTTTTTCATTGCTGTATGGGATACTTACTGTGTACATATATCTATTAAGTTTCCGGAGGAAAATTATACCAGGAAATTGCTCTTCTTAAAGGGAAATTGTAATGCTTAAAAAGAAATTTTTAAAGCTTAAAACTAGTCATTTATAACAGCCAAAAGAAAGAATTCTGAAAAAAAGAAAAAGAAAAGAGCATAAGCACTACTAATTAATAAAAGAGAATCAAAAAAATCAATCATCTGAGGTCAGATGATGACTTAAGGCATTTCCCCGCATGTCAGTGACATGACAGCCTGAATCATGGGATACAAGCTGGCCTACCTTGTTTCCTTCTGATGAGAATTCGTGCCCAGAAAGCAGAACGTGTGTATAGTGAGATCGAATGGTCTCCAAAAGTCACAGATTTAATTTTATTTTCCAAATTTAATTATTTTAAGAAAGAGTGAAAATAGTTTAAAATATGTTTATTTCATGAGGATTTTATAATCTGGTCATTTTTGCTGTCTTCATTTTGGACTTTAAAAATAATCCTTTTTTTAAAGTGAAAAACTCGACCAAAATGTCATACATAATTATTTTGAAAAAATTTTTTTCAGCTTGAACTAGAAATAAATTTGGATGTTTGGTTTTAATTTAATTTCTATGAAGGCAAAATCTTTCTATGGAAGTTGAGAAATATTTATTATGGAAACATCATAGTAATACATTAGGTCTTAATATTCTAGGTTTTTAACAATCTGACTTAAAATCATTGTGTTTTTCTTTTTGCTTTTTAAAGTAAATACATAATTACACTGTGCTAAATTTCTTGACATGGAAAATTTCAAAACTACCTTGCAAAATGTGGCCACTTCCATTTCAAGTGTGAGGAAAAAGATACACTAGCTTTTCATAGTTATTTTTAAAATCATAAATAATCATCAAAATGAGAGGAAAAGCTTTTGTCAACAATAATGTTTCTTTACAATAATGCACAATCTGATGATGGAACATGTTATTCTCACTCTATTCAGATATGTTGGCACCAATCTGTAAAACAGATTTTTAAAAAAATATTTAAAGCTTGTCATTTGTAGTTAATTCACAAAAATGTTATTATGTATAACATTGTGCACATTTACAAATAAATATAATTACTGCTAACATTGAAAAGGAATCAATCTTATCTTTGTTCGTTAAAGTCCCATTTTTATCTCTTTTTCTTCCCTAAATATCTTCATTCTTTATCCTATGCTTTATACATACGGTTATCTTAGTAGTTTGCGGGGAAAGGGGAGAATGAATCTCAGCATGAATTTGTAAAATTTGGTAGAATTTGGTAGAATTTTTGTGGGAGAACATTTTGATGGTTATTTCATATATAAGAAAGAATAAAACAGAAAGGCATTTTCTACATAAGCTTTCAGGGCATATGGATGCATGTCCCTTATAAATATTTCTTATTTCATTTTAAATGAAATTTTTGTGCATAACTGTCACCTACCACCATCCCCTTATAAACAATTCGAACACATTAATGATGACAAGCAAATAAACAGTGGGGAAGTCAAGAGAACATGTCTTGTAGCACTACCTGATAAAACTGCTTTATACCCAGGGGATATAGGATGGCTTGATTTTCAAAGAAAAACCAATTTGCTATTATTTCAAATGTGTGCCACTGATTGCTGAAAAAAATGTATGTTTTTAAGTGTTGTATTACTTGCAATGTCAATTTAACTCATTGGTATTAGGTATCCATTACATGCCATAGAAAACACAATTATTTTTATAAAGCAGTCACATGCATTGATGTAGGGTTACCAACTGGCATATATGTATTTTTTTTTGCACCTCAAAAACAGAATCACAATAGTGCTTATCATGCTTCCACACCTTCTTTGCTGAAAGACAGTACATACAATGCTGGAGTTGGGCCTCACGATCTGAAGAAAGCAAACTTAGTACTCTGGCAGGACCACATCTTGCTGTGAAAGCCCAGCTGCCACATCAGGGATGTCTTCTTCTTTGGGGTCTGCCGCTTCCTCCACTGGCTTCAGCTTCTCCACCTGGCCCTTCTCTGTGGTCAGGTCAGCCACCTCTATTCCATCATTCAGTGCCTCCGGCTCTATTTGGGGGGCCTCTTCAGCATTTGTATCTCCATCTTTCACCTCCTCCATCAGCTCAGCTTCTGTGCTCTCAGTGATCATGTGGGCCGCCTCTCCTTGAATGTTCTCCTCTTGCGGAATAGGTTTGATGTGCTCATTGCACTCTTGGGCTGGTGATGGTTCTCCAGCAGACTTGTGACTCTCTTGAATGCTGCTATGACTGCTGCTGGCACTTCCCAGTCGGGAGGAGGCCACGACTGCCTTCACTGCTGCCTGATTGGGGAAAGAAAGATTCTAGGGTCACCTCCACTCAAAATCTCAAATCAGAGGTCACCCTCTACTTTGTCTTTTGTAGGTCTGTGTTCACTATGTCAAAGTACATTATTCCAGGATTGAGTGGTGGATGAAAACTTATTTGGAGAATGAACAGAAAAACTTCTTTAATTCCAAATTAGGAGTATTTAATCATCTAGATACCTGAAAATCTGAGTAAATGTTTTACCCAAACACTTTAGACGTTTCCCAAAGTATCTGTTTCATGGAACATTAGTTCCATGAATTTCAGCAGGCATAAATTCCTATGGTCAAATGAGCATGAAAAATCCTAGGTTAAACCACCATTATTTAATGCAGGGTCTTTAAATTAATCTGATCGAAGACCTTTTTAGGTTTATCTGTATCACGTGTGAAAAGAAATGGCTAACTAGGTCCCTACTATTGACCCCTATCCAACCTCTGAAATCCATGGTTCTTACAAAGCTAATCCTGAATACTATTCTGTCACAGAAAAACACCTAATCTTTATTTTATATATACACTATGAAATACACAGACAGTGGACCTCATTTTACAAACTTAATTTGCTTTATGATTTTGGGGAAGACGGTTGTGTTTGTGTTTGTGTAGGGAAGATGGCCATGGTTGTGTTTATCATCTGACGCAGAGTTAGCAAACCGGTATTTGTGAACCAAGGTATTACTCAATGCTGTTGAATAATTTTCTGTATGCACTTAAATTATTTAAATTTTCTCAAGTATAGTACATATATACAATAAAATATAGTCTTAAAATTGTCTCATAAGTTTTTTTTTTTTTTTTTTTTTTTTTGTCTTTTTCCTTTTTATCGGTACCGGGGATCGAACTCACGACTGCCTGCTTTCAAGGCAGGCGCTTATGCCGCTGAGCTAAACCCCCAGCCCCCTGTCTCATAAGTTTTACATATTCAGAAAGAAAACAACTCTTTGAATAAAGTTTCTTGAACAATTCTGCTTAAGGAGTTTAAACTTAATTAAATGACAAGCAGCAACAGTATATTTGGTGGGTGAATCTCAAACTACACTTCGTATATTACTAATGAATTTTATGAGGATAACAAAACTGTAAGTGGCTTTATGTTACACTGTTAATATTTCAAAGCAAGATTTTCTCCCTGATGTCACTGAAAAAGAATAATAGTACCAGACAAAGAGAAAAAAAAACTTTTAAATAACACAAAATATATTATCTTACCTTAAGCTTTCGCCGAGCATTGAATTCTTGAAGCTTCTTTTGAGCAGTATCCATGTGTACGAAGTTAGCTGCTTTACCTGTCACCCACGGGTGCTGGAGAGCTTGAAAGGTAGTCAGTCGTTTCTTAGGATCCAAAACGATTAATTTTCTGACCTGAAATAATAAACAATAACAGATTTAGGGAAACTTTTTTGGTGACCTGGACTTGCGCTCAGCTTGTGAACTTGTAGATCTTCTACTTTCCAAGCAATAGTAGTGAAGACAAAATTTTTTTAAAAGTGTTTAAGCTTCATATCACTGTGAATAGAACTAGCTTAAACACAGCAGTAACTGAGGAACACAAGACAATAGTGTCACCACCTGAGACTCCAAACTGGCAGATTTCTAACAGAACTCAAAGAAATAGGTCCTACCTTGCCTGTGGACTAGATGCTCTGTGAGGGAAGATTCCAGCATCTGAATAATTCTAGCCTGTACCTCACAATCACCTAGAATTCAGAACTTGAACTACAACTCCATGGTAACAGAATCACTCTGTTGCATCATTGCTTCTGTGAGGATTATATGGTAACCAAAAAGAATAAGACCAGAGCTGTGGTTAAAGTCTTGTTGCAATCATGGAAAAGAAGTCAGTGGCACTGGGGTTTGAGTTGATTAAAGCAATAAATCTGACCAAAGGCAACCTATTCTGCAAAGTTACTCTGGTTTCTAAGGATGAGCAGAAAATAAACTGCAAGAAAGATCAACAAATAAAAGAATTCTCAGCCCTGGGCTCAGAGGAGTAACCTGGTATTTGGAGTCAGGAGGTGTGCTCAAGCTTGGTTAGGTCTCTGCTTTTGTGATCTAGACATAGTCACGAATGAATTGCTTGCCCATAGCCATTCCACTAGTGTCCATTTTCTGACATGATTGAATCTCATTTCCACCTTCATTGCTTTGTAAATGCGCATTTATTTGTATATACATTTTTTAAAAAAACTCATGTAACCCTTTAGTTTTAGAGTTTTGAACTATTAGTGTAATTTACCAGGAAGGATAGAAGTGAGCTCAGAGAAAGATTTTGCTGTCTCCTTAGTTGGTGGAGTTTGTATTTAAACTCAGGTCTGCATTATGTCAGAACCTATCTTTAAAATGAGGGAAAGACTCATCTTTACAGTAAGGGAAAGGCTAGATGACTTCTGAGATGCTCCTTAATATTCGATGATTCCAAAGGCATAGTTGGTTTTTCTCTAGAGAACTAATACTAAATATTTCTATCACACTTTACAGTGGCTCCCTCTCCAGAGAGTTTCCTCAATGCAAATGAACTTCAATGTCAGCTTAAATGAGAAGCAAGATAAATAAAACAAAATGTGCTGTTAGCAAAGTGGAGTTTGTTTATAATGCCAATAACAGCACTCATGTTACTGAAGGATATTTTAATAAGTTTAATTGAAAGTTCACCAACAACACTGTTCATCTGATATAACAAGCGATGTTAAAACAAAATTTTGTGTGAATTGTGTTCTGATTCACCTAAGATAACTTTCTTCATAATCAGGGCTCTATGGTGCATGTTATAGTTTATTAATACTATAGTAATTGTAATTTGTTATAATAAACTAGCAATGAATCAAAACACTTACTTCCATTGTCTATAAAAATGCATCGATATTTATTATTAAAATTGCCTCAAAAAGAAATATGCTGCAATAGAGGAATATTTTTAAAGACAGCATTTTAAAAATGAATTTAACTCATTTTATTTTATTTTGTTTGGTTACACTTACCAAGTCCTTGGCATTTAGAGATACTTCATCCCACCAGGGGGAGATAAAGTAATATTCACAGTTCAGAATTCTCCTGAACATGAACTGATCACCTCTTTCATCATAGAATGGTTCAAACCCACAAAGTCTACAGGGAAAAAAATAGAGAATAAAGAGAATGAATAGTACATTTCATTAGATCTCTGTAGAAATTCACGACTTTGTCACAGCCTTCTGTTATGAGCTGAAGTCTACTGAGTACAAGTATGTATTGCCTTTTATAATTCACTGTGGAATGTGGTAGTATAAAAACACAATCATATCTCCAGAATGTAAGAATAGTGAAATAAAATTTCTACAAAAAGGCTATACTTAGGACATGAAAGCTGTATTTAGGACATGAAAGAACAGCAGTGACTGTAACTAACATTAATGTGGGCATCACACTAAAAATTTCTAGTGAGAACTAAGAAGGCAGACTGATTAGAGCTTCAATTTAGTATAAAATGCAAGTGTTACAATTGAGAGTAAGAGGTTAAAAGTGGGGGGAAAGAGTTTTTACATTTTATTCATTCCCATTCTCTAAATTTCTCCATAGACGTGAGTAGAGTATGACATCTACCCTCTTTCGGTATGGATTTCAGAATAAAGTAAGATAGGGGCTAAAATTATTAACAGAGAATGGCCTTAAAAATGCTTTAAATCACTGAGCAGATGCAGCCAGCAGAAACAACCTAAATTTTTTTCTTCCTTGTATATGATCTTCACTGTTGTGCATCCTAAAGACATTCCATTATATTCACTGTTACGGTTTGAATTTGAAATGTCTCCCAAATGCTTTTGTCTTGAAGGCTTGCTCTCCAAAATAGCAATGTTCAGAAGTGATGCTTTTTGGGAAGTGACTGGGTCGTGAGGACTCTGACCTCATCAATGCCTAATCCCCTGGTGGGTCAACAGTTTGAAAGCCTATTGCAAAGCGACTGGCAACTCAAGACATGGGATCTAGTTGAAACAAGTGGGTGCTTGGGGGCTATATATCTCTGTCTCTCTCTGTCTCTGTCTGTCTCTCTCTCCTAGTCTCTCAGTCTTCCATGAAGTATGCCACCGTACTTTCCCTGCCATGATGTTCTGCCCCTTCACAGAATTCAGAAATAATGGCTTTATCTGGTCATGGACCGACACATCTGAACTCTGAGGCAAAAGAAATATTCACTCTTTTAAGGTGTTTCTCTCAGATATTTTGTCACAGTGACAGAAAGCTAACACGTTCATATTCATTTTGCCTTACAAGGGCAGCATGAAAATGAATGGGGAGCCTGTAATTCCAGCACGTGAGAGGTTGAGACAGGAGGATCATTGCAAATTCGAGACCAGCCTGGGTTACTGTGAACTCAAGGCCCGCTTGAACTGCATAGGGAGACCCTGTCTCAGAAAGACAAAAAGAAAAAAAAAAAAAAAAAGGATGAAAAAAAAACAAGGCGAGGGGGTTGAAAAAGAAAAAAGGGGGGGGGGTTGAGAAAAGGAACAGGGGCCATCAGAGAGAGGGAGGGGAAAGGCGGGAGAGAAAAGGGAGTTCCTGGTCTAGGATTGTCAACCCTCCTCTGTTTAAAGATGGGTAGAGGTTGGGAAATTCCTACTGACCAAAAGTAAACTGTGAAAATCATGGGCAAAACAGTAAGTTTAAAGATGTCAGACTCTTGCCTCAAGCTGGCCAGTTTGGTACAGAGCATGAGAATTTCAAGTGGATCTTAAAGTGGTGGGCTTCTTACAAAGAATAGTGCTGTATCCATTTGCTCACAGAATGTCTCACTGGGAGAGGCCTTGTCTCTTCCAAATATTCTTGAGCCAACCAGAAAAATGCAACGTTTGGGAACAGTAAGGCCTAAACTTACACATTCTCCGATTTACTGCATCAGTCTGCACAGGTAGGTCAGGAGCAGGATTTTGACTATGACAACACTCTAATCTCAAAGTTTCAGACCTCAGAACTGTGACAAAGTAACTATCTTTTGGTTAAGCCACCCAGTCCATGCATTTTCTTATGGCAGACAAGCCAAGCAAGACTAATATACTTACTTTCAAACCCCCTAAAATTTCTCTACAAATTTGCAAAGTGTGAGTTCCAAAACTAATTGTATCACCTCCTAAATACTAAACAAATGTATTTATTTTGGGTTAAACTTCTGAACTCATTAATATCTTGCTTTTTAGATTTTCTATAGTGATCTTCTCTTCCAGCCACTCTTCTGTTTGGATTATGATTTCCCTTATAATCATCTGCAATTTCATCACCACTTTGGTGAATCTCTTGAAACTAATTTTTTATTAGGCAGCAGTTTAGTAATGAAGTTGGAGATACCAAAGAATGAAATATTTAGCTCATTTTTTTCTCAGAGAAATTTGTGTAGGGTATTAAACCCAAGGCTCTTGAGAACCTAACAGATAGGAAACAAAATTGATACCTAAAACGGATGTAAATTTTTAAAAAATGTGTTGGTTTAATATTGTATAAGAAATAAATATCCATTTACTTTCTTAAAAGAACTAATAGTTTAGTTATTTTAGACGATATCAAAAGAAAATAAGAAAAAGTGTAACAGGTGCATTTGAGTTTCACATTCATTATGATCATCAAATAATTATTTCCCAAATCTCTTATATACTGTATAGCAAAATAAGACAGAGAAAAGCCCTGAACAGAAATTCTGGTCCCAAGAGAATTATAAAATGTAAAGAAATACTTATTGTGAGAAACTTGTGTCATTAACTACATTTTGTACGACTAGAAAAGCACAAAAAGTTAAACAGCAATCTTGATTCTGATGAGAATTTTGAGTATCTAGAAGATGTCATGCAATGGCAAGCAGTTTGCATAGACTGTTTTTCGTCACTCACAAGATGTAGGTGATTATTCCCAAAGACCACATGTCCACCTCAGGTCCATAGGCACAGCCTCTGAGAATTTCGGGTGCTGCAGAAACAGTGAAAATTGGGTTAAACTGGAATTTATATTCAACATTGATACTTTAATAACGAGCAATGAGGAAGAAATGAATTCATCATGAAAACTATAGATCGCCTTCAAAATTAATCTTCTCTTTCTACACCACAGTATGAAACTACAGGGTTTGTTTGTTTTTTTACTTTTATTTTAGTCAGATTACCAGTCTATATGTGGGGTATATAAAAGTAATGTTATTAATTCGTAAGATTCCACATTACAAGATCTGATATTGCTCAAGTCAGAGGTATATCTCTGCTGCAGAAGACCACTTACTTCAAAGGAAAAGTGAAAGCTTGTTACAATAAGGGGAAGAAAGTGTAATTATGCTGCACGAGATCTAAAAGAGCTTGGAGCAGGGGACGTCCAGGGAACGTCTGTGCCTAATTGTATGCAGGGTAAGGATGAGGGCAGACGGTGGAGAAGAGGGACAATCTCTGGTACTGTGAAGATGGGAGCAGAAGTCCAAAGCTGCCCTGTCACAGGCACTGAGTCCGAGTGTCATATGGAAGTCTCCAGAGAGACGCTGGCCTCGGTAGGCTGAGAATCAAACTGAGAAACAGGAACTTCTCTGTGTACCCCAAGGCTGCTTACAGTTCTGTCTACTGTCATAAAATGAAAGGCCTTCCCCAGAAATGGCCCCTGAGTGGAGAAGAATGTGCTATTTTATATTCTTACTAATTTGGAGCTGTGAAAATGAGTCTGATAGTTTGCACTGAGGACTGGAGGACTATTATTGGCTTTTTTAACAAAGGAAGAGAAAGCAGATAAGGGCTCTGGATTGATAACACAGCCTGTGGCCCACCGGAAAGTCTTCTGTTCCGAACAAGTGCTGGGGCAGGAGTTTAGCTTAGTGGCACAGCACCTGCCTGGCCTGAGGTCCCGAGTTGGATTCCCAGTACCAAACAAACAAAGTGTTTTAGGTGCCTGGGCACTCCCTGAGGATAAAGATGCTTTATATATGCCAAGAGTTCTTTGGGAGAAGTGCTGAGGGCCAGAACCACATTCTTTCTCCAGGGTAGAGGTTGGAGAACAAATGAACTAGGTTCTTTGTTTATATGGCCTGGAAACTACTTAGTGTTGACTGTCAATGTGAGTTCTGGAAGGAGACTGTCCTATAGGGCCTGATTTACCAGAAGGATTATTGTGGAGTTTTCATTGGCTCCTTTCGCTTATATTCTCTACACCATTCTTTTTCAATTTGGATTTTCTCTTCCCCATAGATACTGCGTTACACGAAATATAGGGGAAATCTCTATCTGACAGAACATACCTTTGAGCCCCAATACCCCCCACAGTGAACCCCCACAGCAGATGCTTTATCACAGTGCAAAGGGAGCTCAGATGAGGCTGCCACTGCCAAGGTGCTCCCGCCACCATCTCTGTCTCTGGGAGCTGTTCCAGACAGCGAGCTGAACGCACTCATATTCAGCATGAGAGTTCAGGATGCATTAGTTCTTCCTCGCTCTGCTCTTCACATCAGTGATTCTTATCTCTTATCAGAAATGTTATCAAAATTCAAGCTGACATTTAATCATAAATACAGAAATATACAGAGAAGAGACTTTTACACTTACGGAATCCAGGCTTTCTATCTTTCAAATCTAAGTGAACTGGATTAGATGATTTCTGAGTTTACTTTGAGTTTTAAACTACCACCCACTGTGATATTCATACAGAATTACTGACCACGCAAGCAAGTAGAGGGGATAAGTACAAGCATTCAAACTTGCAGAACCTGCCACATTTCCCATTTATTCTGCCAAAACTAAGAAAACTATGACAAGTAAAATCAATAGATTTATTTACTCATTAAATAATGAAACATTTACTAATCACCTGCTATATAATGGGCACTGTGTAGAGGGCTGTTGAGGGTATCATGGAGAGATAAAGAGAGCAAGTTTCTGTCATCATGGAGCTTAAAGATTAGTTGGAGAGGTGTGCTAGTGCCTTTCCTGTCACTAGGACAGAATGTCAGACACTAGCATGTGAAGAAATTTATTTGGCTCAAGGTTTTGAGGGTTCACTCCATGGTTGGCTGGCTCTAAAGCAGAAATGGCATGGTGGAAAGGCACAGTGGGAGAGAGAGAGACAGAGAGAGAGAGAGAGAGAGAGAGAGAGAGAGGGAGAGAGACAGAGAGAGACAGAGAGACAGAGAGAGACAGAAAGAGAGTGAGCGCACCAAGGAGATGAGGACTAGATTGTATCCACCCAGGATCCCACCTTTTCTGACCAGGCGCCACCTCTTAACAGTACAGTCAGCTGTAAACTCTTCATCAGATTAATCCCCCAATGAGTATAGTTCTCCAACGTTCAAATCACTTTAAATCCCACCTCTGAACACATAAGACTTTATGGGACACCACATATCTAAACCATAACAGTAGATTGCTATTAATTTTTAAAAAATGAAGGAATGCAAAGTAGTAACTGGCAGTGCTTGGAAGGAGGGTGTCTTTAATAGTTGTCCTGGTCATGGAGACAGGAAAGATGACCAGGAGAAGCAAAGTTTGAACTGAGACATGAAGAACCCAAAGAACCCCTAGATAAAGGGGGAGAGGGGAGTGAGTCAGGAAGAGAAAAAAATTTCAAGTTGAGGCAAAGACCTCATGGTTTTGGAAGGAGCAAGGCATCCTGGAGAACTGAAGGAAGCCAGCTGGCTGGAGCATGGCCTAGATGTACCGAGAGGTCCAGATATAGTGATTTCCAGTGAGGAAAACAGATACTTGACTGCAGGTCTAGTTGTTAGAGAGTCTGTATATTTATTTCAGATTGTCTCAGCTTTCAGTTTAATAAGCAAAGCATATGGGAAAAATATCTATGCACATTTTAAAACCTGAATCTGATTTTCCAAAACTCCTCTGTTAAATCAGAGGAGGAAACACTGTGGGACTGGTCACTGCAGAGGCCTGCCTTGAATCCAGAGTTTTCTGGAAGCTACAGAAATCCACGGCAACAGTTGGAGTAGTGGAACACCCAGTAGTCCCTACACGCTAGGTGGCAGGAGCAGGAGGATTATACATTCGTGTCCTGTTTGGATAACTTTGTGATTTAGTGAGACCCTGTCTCAAAATTTTAAAAAAAGCCTAGTGATATATAGCTCAGAGTGGAGACCCTGAATTCAATTCCCAAGAATCCCTACCATTAAAAAAAGACCCAAGCCATTGCATCCTAAAGCAGCACCTGCAGTCTCTAAACATTGCCTCCACTGAAGGAACAGGGAGGAGAGAGAAGCCAGGAAGCAGCAGGCAGTATATCCACAGAATGCACAGCACAGTGTCTGATAATTCTCTGCTTCTTTCCATTCTTAATTTGGCTTAGGGGTCCCTGGAGAAGAATGTACTCTGGGAAGAGTGGCAGCAGCACCCAAATCTCGGCACACCCCAAACTGGGTCCTTTTCCTGGCATGCGTACCTGTGGGAGCTCTTTGTCTATCAGTGCTATATTTGCGAAGAAAAGAGTACAACTTGTTTAAAACTTGGTGCACTTTCACCTTGACATGGATAGGAAGCTAACACCCCAGTCTGATCTGCTAAGTGCTCTGGCGAGAAGTGTGAGTTCAGGCAGCACACGCTGGAGTCTCTGGGGCAGCGTGCGGTGGGGTGGAGGAGAGAGCGCGGAGCCTCTGCCTGCACAGCCTTGCCTGTTTACTTCTGTGGCTCTCACAGCACTAGCAGCTCTATGCATGTCACGCTGCGGAAGTGCAGAACTGAGTGTGTATTTGAAGCTTCTGCCGCTTCATTTATCTATGACTTGAAAGCAAAATGAAAAAGTTACAAGGATGTTTTGGAACACAGTGAGACGCTTTATGTTGTGAATCATTCTTTCTATCCTCTGGTGTTCTTGATTGTTTACACCATAGGTAACAGTCAACCCAACTCCCACTTCATGTGTTTCATTTACAGTGTTTAAAAGTCTTGCTTGTCACACCAATCGTGACATCTCTCTTTGTAAAGTGGGTAAGGAAACAGTCTTTTTTCTTCATCTTATTTTTTATATTTTTAATAATACCTTCAAGAGAAAATGAAATATCTGAGAACACTGAGTACTTTTTTACAGAATCGAGATGGGGGAAAAAAGACGACTTATTTTTTTAGTCTGTGCAATTCACTTGCATGTAATTCTGTTTAGCCTTCCCATCTTGAGATAATCACAGTTTTCTCTGAATCTAAATCTGATTAAGTCTTTCAGTTATTTCAAACTTGTGATGGCAAAGGAGTATTAACTGTTGAAAAGTGCTTGTGGGATAATATGGATTATATACAAACCCATTTCTCTCAATATTAACATTATATAAGAATCTTTTCTGAATACGGAGATACAAACATAAAAGTCGCAGACTTACAATGTAAACTCTCATAAGTTCAATATGGCAAATACTGTGGTTTTCTCTAAGGGATCTATAATGTTTCTGATAATGATTATCAATAATAATTCTTTTGAAATTTTATATTTTTATGTAAAGTACATTCTTTCTGTAGTGACATCTAAAATGGAATACTTTGTGGGTGTTCAGAGCCGAAATAATGTTTGAAGAAAGTCTTCTGCCCACTTGCCATCAATCACCTCTTCCTTCTGACCTCTTTCCTCCCTCGTTCCACCCGCACATATGTAATAATAGAGCTGCATCTTCACGGAACTGTGAATCTTCTGGCATTGCTGGCTCTGTTCTTGGGATAATGTCTTACAGTTACATAGAAGTGGAAACAGAAAATAGCTTACGGTGTGGGGAACTAGAAGTTAAGGATTGCTGTTCCATTAAAAGACTATCTCTAAACTCAAAGAGAACATGAGAAATTATGGGATCACATTGGTAAAAGCCTCTTCAGATTTAATTCAGTCTGCCATTTCAGGCCAATATAGGCTTGGTTAACTTTGATATAAATGGCTTCCATAATCCTCGATTTCATTGACATATACGGAGTCTCTAAATGGCTTTTGTAGTGATATTATTTATGTCTGCAGGG